TGCTTTTCCAGTTTCCCATCCTTTAAAACTCACATATCTTGTGACCAATTCCTTATATCAATGTCTAGTTTTGGTATGAGTATTGGTAAGAAACATCATGCATTAATGAATGAGCAAGAGTATTTCATGCAATTTAAATAATAATATTACATGTTACAATGTGGTAACTTACACAGCAAAATCATATAATCACACAATTCCAAACAAAGAAAGTTGGGTGATTGACTAACCTGCTTCAACTTTTGAGGGCTTGAGGGAGAAAGAAATAAATATGGTAAACTGTTACAATTAATAAAAAGTTGAAAGTTTAAAAGCTAAGAGACATACATTACAATCATTAAATCCTATGCATTTTAGCAAAAATGGGTCAGTTACCACTATAACTTCTCCCAACCATTCATACATGCAGGAAATCATTAATTTTTGTTATTAGGTGCTACTGTACTTACAATAGTTCCACTGACACAAATGCATTTTTCTGTATAGTTATCTCATAGCTTATGACTGTACAGGTCATGTGGATGGTTCCTGCTTGGGGACTGACATTTCAATTACCTGAGCAAACTGTAATCATCAGAATTGCAAGCCAAGGTGTATTAACCAAGTGCTCAAGTTTCAAAAGTAGTGACCTAATTGTTACAGTCAAGTTCACTCCTTTTTGAGGCCATCTTTCGCTTGATCATCCTGTTACATGTGATACCATCAAATGTTACTCATATTCAAATACTTGCTTGAATCAAAGTTATAATTTTTTTTGATAACCTGCTTCCCTTAACCCTTTAACCCCTGACTAGCATCTAATTTCCCCTTTCAATATCAGACATGAATCAAATATTAAGGTTATGAGAATAAAGGCAATAATAATAAACTGAAGAACCTCTTGATTGTTAAACAAATTCTCCCTGCTAGCACATAAGGAAATGTATTGAGAACTGTATGGAGAATATGCACACTGATGTTAGGGTGTAAAGGGTTAATAGTGCTCCAAAAATAGTAAATAGTACTGGAGAGAAAGAAAGAAAGTTCTTAAAACATTCATTAAATGACACTTTGCTATGAATGTTAATTGCAACAGCAATGAAAACATCTGTGAAGCTACAATAACAATTACTTTTCCATGTAAACAAACCATAATGAAGCATGATGTGGATAAATTTAATCTCACGCAGTTTGAATGTAGAATCCGAAATCTAATAAACTTACCAATGAATTGGAAAAAACTCAATGTGTTTTTCCTGCTTCTCTCATTCTAAATATCACAAATCAATCATGCCACCACTTCATTGTGATTTTTTTTTAAGATGTGAACTTTTTCTTATGGTCATCTATTTTTAGTATCTATCTTTTACCAGCTGACATCTGAGAAGAATCAAGTCCACACTGGTGATTTGACACATTGTAAGCAAACACTACAACTGATCAAATTTTATTTGATAAAAAACATGAAGGGCAATAGAGGAAATTGGCTAGCACAATTCAAGTTTCCCTTCTTGAGTATTCTGTGATCGTTTCTTCTACTATAGGGTAAAGTTTACAGTTTCACTCATTTCACTGTCTTCTGTCAATCTTTTTACTTTCCTAACAATCTTAACTATTGTTGCCAACAAATGCAAGCTAGGAGCATATAAAATGTGTAGAGATATTAACACTTTAATTCCTGAGAGTGACTAGTATTTAAGTTCTCCTTTCAATATCATTCCTAAATCAAGCATTAAGGTCATGAGAGTAAAGGAAATGATAGTCAACTGAAGACCCTCTTGATTGTTAAACAAATTCTCCTTGCCAGAACATCAGGAAATGTATGGAGAACAGTATGGAGAATATGCATACTGATGTTAGGGTGTAAAGGGTTAAAGACATCATGTAATCAGTTTTATTTAACAAATAGAGAAGCCTTGAATGTGCTCTGTTCTGTTATAAAGCACGCAGGAAGCGGCTAGAGCACGAAAGAAGTGTAGGGAGAAACACGAGACGTAGTCAAGAAGTGGGGAGAAACACTCGACACAACTGACATGTTTTAGTGAATTTCAAGCATTAAGGTATGATTGTCAGTTTGCTTTTTATTACTTGCAAACAGCTTATTTATATCAGCTTTGAAACTTCTATATCCTCACTTTCAAAGAAAAGCATTTCCCATGAACATTTAAACATGAAAGACATAAGCTACCAGCAACAGGTTTTTCCACTGTTTCATAACATCAGATTCTCATCAAATTTTTTTTTTACATTTGAAAGCATAAGAACCATTTTTATCATTACAGTATAATAAAATGTTGCATTTTATCTGTTTTAGTCCCACTAGTGACCTAAGCAAAATTCTCCTTACACTATCAGTACAATATCAAGCAGACGAGTAATGAGAATAAAGAAAAATATCAATAAGGGGATAATTGGTTGATCCAATTCCAAATCCTCCAACCTAACATCACATAAATTGTATGTCAGACAGTAAAGAGAGTTGCTAATGAAATCTTGAAAGTTAAAGGGTTATGTGATCATATGTACTAGAAAGACAGCAAATAAATGTAACATACTCCAGTAAAGTGTTCTTATGTACAATGAAGTTTCAAACTCATTGAAATTAAGTTGACCTCATGATTCAGATTTGAGTTTAAGAAATGTGTAATATATCTTTACCTGGATGGAAAGAGAATGCCATTTATGAATTTTAAAGTAGTAAATGCAAAAAACTTAGAGCTGAAGTTTAAAAAGACTGCTAAAATATGGCATATCTATTCACTGAGATTTTAATCATTGGCTAGCATACAGAGATATAAAAGAGGCTTTGTGGAAAAGACCAGGGCAACAAAATTAAAGATTCAGGAGGAGCGTATGATATCAACTAGTTTACTGATGTTCTCACCTGAATTCAGTCTGTAAAGAGAACTAATTAACACTTCTGTTCAACAGTTTATCTTCTCACACTTGATTAAAACATAAAATTTAATTATTTGCAGGCATGGTAGGGAGGAAATTAAAGGATTGGATATATGTTACATAAAAAGAAACCCCTTACAATAAAAATGAAGGAGAAGCATATTACCTACGCGTCTTTGCTTCTGAAGAAAGCTATAATAGGTATTTTTAAGCAATTATCTACATAATTATGTAAACCGGGTGCAATATATGGTCGTAAAAGCAATTATTTTATTCTAACCTTCCTCCTTCAAGGGTGCCTTGTGTAACAAATATATCAAGTTCAGTACCTCCAGAGTCATAAGCCGGGCTTTTGGGGCGACAAAATCATAAAATCATCAACGCGTTATGGCAGGACAATTTATCGAGAGTCAATTAAATAGTTATTGTAGTTTCCTAAAATCGTATGAAAAGTTTAAAATGTACTTCATTTGTGCTTCATATAAGGATTTATCGTTCTTATTTACTGATGAAATTCCGAGAGAGTGACCCAATTAATTCAAAAGAAAATATCTAAGTAGGTTACAGAAATGGTTCACGAATTGTAAACTGATAATGTGTTAACAAAATCTCCCTAAGTTATGGTGTCGATACGAATTTATCTGTAAACAACAGTTATTTACGCTAACCATGTGCTTACCAGCGTGCTTGTGAGCTCAAATTGCCAAGACCCCGTTTAATTACACGATCACAGCTCAGACGCTTCTTGCAAAATGTGATGACTATCGATTTCAGAGATAGATTCTTCAGTTTCCAGCATTAGGAAAAAAATATCGTATCACAAGCATGTTCATCATAACCCGAGCAGTAAGTACGCATCGAGATGTTGAGAGAAGAGAGAGTGGCTCCATGTTTTGTGAGACAATTGAAATTATTCCCTGAAGTTCGTACGAATTGAGTAGAAGCATGAAAACATAGCGCTGAAAAGTACCCGGCGCGTAGCGTCCTATACGCATATACGCACGTGCGTACTTGAAGTGACCAGAAAATTTTGAAATTTTTAGCAATTGTTTCTATTTTTAACATTTTACTTGTACGCAACCAAGATTTCGTGATGAAAACACCAATTTGATTAAATTCTAAAAACGAAAACAAAAGCTATACCATGTTCTAACTTAGTTTTCCATTGTACTTTTTTTACACCAAACAATGCAGTGTTGTTTGGCCAGCGTGCAACAAAAAGGCGAGGTTGCAAAGGACGGACGTTCCAAGAACGTTCTTGACAAAGGAGCGACGTTCTGAGAGCGTTGTTGATAATTCCAGTCACGCTAGTTCTGACTACAAAATAGATTCGAACACATCGATGTTTCCGGTTTGCTTTTATGTGATACATAATATGTCAAAAAGATCCACCAAAGATTTTTTTAATGTCATCCAAGACGAAAATAGTGGATCTAACGATGAAGAAGGTAAGCTGCTCGACCGTATTGCCTAGCCGTGCCGTCAAACCTCTACTCAGAAATATTGTATATGATGATTTTACAGAAAATTCTCAAGCAGTGGCGGCACCCCCACAAGACATTTTCCCAGAAGAATCTAGTACAAGTCAATTCAGATAGAATGGCCCTCTCTGTCCTGAGAGTTTCACTGAAAGTGGCCAAGTGAAGGCACTCACTGACAGCGAGAAGGTTGCACTCTTGGAAGGAAGATGGGATAGCGCTGATTTGTTTGCATACAGCTTTCCTTTAAGGTTTGAATACAGGTTTTGAATGAAAGCATATTGCTCCAGGATTTGCCATGGTATGAATTCTTCAATGAAAACTGATAAGCTAATAACGTCACTAAGCATGCTTTGAAAAATTTAGTAGTTGGCCTTACTTGTACATTTTCAGAATTATTTCTGGAAAGAATAGAAAGATAAACCCCGACCTCATTGTAAGAACGCCCTGGTTGAGATACAGCCCTTCGACACTATTGTTACTGTTTATTATTCATCACCCATGATCATTCTTTCCGTACTCGCGATTGGTCCAATATTTCTAAACTAGTGAAGAAGCATGTCTGCGAAAAAAGTGCTCATCCCACTGCAGTAGCTCGCGGGGAAACGTTTCTACACACACAGCGAGGTGGTGCACATAACATCTCTCAAGAGCTTCACTCTCAAAGAGCTGAATAGCAATTTTATGGCGATGCTGTCTCTATTGGCGAAAGAAAACTCAGTTCTGCGTGACCACCTAGAAAACGCACCTCGGATTTCCAAGTATGCATATCCGGATATCCAGTACGAGATCATCTTTTTTTCAGCGAAGCAGATTCTCGATAGCATTATTGACAATTGCAAGAGATCTGTCATTTGTGCATTAATTGATGATGAGTCGACTGATGTTACAAACAAAGAGCAAATTTCTATTTGTATACGTTTTGTTGGCAGGAAAGAGGACGGGAAACATCTCATACGTGAAGAATTCCTTACTTTTGTACATGCAGACAAAGGAACCAATGCTGAGGAACTCAGCCAGAGCGTCGGTCTTTCAGTGAATGATATGAGAGCCCAAGGCTATGATGGCGCCAGTGTGATGAGTGGGCACGTGAGTGGTGTGCAAACACGGATTTGCCAAGTTAATCCAAATGCTGTTTATGTCCATTGTCGACCTGAAGTCTTAAACCTCTATATTGTCCATGCATCAAAGCTTCCACTAGTGAGAAACATCATGGATACCATGCAAGAAGTTACGTTGGCCTTTAAGTTCACTGCAAAACGTTTGTTGGCATTTAAAGAACAACTTAGAGACAATCCTGTTCCTAGAGAAAAAATGGGAAGACGCTCAAAGCTGAAGGTGCTTTGCGAAACGCGCTGGGCCTCCAGAGCAGATTGCCTGGCAGTTTTCGTCGACGCTTTCAAGGTATTAATTGATATTAATAATCTGAATCATAGCCCATCTTTTATGAGGTAAATACAATGGAACATTTTGCTTATCCATCAATGTTCATTTTTAGGTAATAATCGACACGTTAGACCAGCTAAGCGAGGAAGGTGATTGCAAGGCCAGAGCGCTCCACGCGTCTGTTCTGAAATGGGAAACAAGCTGTCGGTATACCTTCAAGTGAGTAATCAAATGATAATATATCTTTGATTTTTACATTTACCACATTACTAAGGATCAAAACCATTTTTTTGTACCCAGAGGCCTGATCTCGACTTGATTCAAGCCTCTGAAGAAGCAAATTAGAAATTGCAAAACACTGAGAATTACTGTTCAACTTCAACCTCACCAGTTTGATTTCGTGCTCAAAACACGGGTTGCAAATTATTTGCTTACGCGGCTTCACATCCACTAGCCAACGTGAAGCCCTCGTGCAATGCCTAGCTGTGTGCCCACAGTACGCTACATTGAAGCTCCACACTCGAGTATGCGGACTTCATTGTCATCTGCCGATGTTTCCTGGCGCAAACTAATGGGGTATCCAAGTTACGCGCACAATCGCGCCTGCGCACTACCTCCTCCCTCACCCTTTCCATTACGTAATGGCTAAGATAGTGCCCGTGGTACAGTTGGCCGTGCATACTAATAATAGCACCTTATATGGTCGGTCGTACGGTCATACGTCCAAATTTTTTTGGCTTGATGGGTTACTCCTATTTCGTATAATTAAAGGGGCTACACTGCGCGCGCTTCGCGCGCTGCGAGCTCCGCTATTAATAACCTTGCTGTGAAATTGATTGAGTATTTTGCAATTCAAGTAGCCGTTCGAAAGATCTCATATTGTTAGGTTCAATTATCGAATTAGGCAGAGAATTCCATAATTTTGGTCCTTGTTATAAAATTGTGAATTGTTTGATACTAGTTCTACAGACTTCAGCATATCTACAATACAATACAATAATTATGAATTTGGCCCCCAGTTTGAAACAAATTTAGAAAAGGGCGAGGGAACATTTTATGGTGATACATGTACACGGAGGCTCCGACATGAAACGAATACAAAAAGTAAATGTCAAAAATTCCAAATTTTTGAAAAAGAGATTTATTAGGGGTATTATTATCTACTGCTAAAACTGTACGAAGAGCTCTTTTATGCAACGAATGAATGAATGAAGGACTTCATTCAAGTTTCAATATTATTAAGCTTGAAGAAAGCTAAAATTGGAGACACTGTTTACGAATTAAAATATACCTAAGCTACATAAAGTTAAAATTATTAACTATAGCGACGCTTGATCGCCGCTAGCTGGACCGTACGAATCTCACTGATCGACACAACAAATATCGCTCCAATTTCTTTCTGTTAAACGCCTCCTTTATTAAATGTCGTATTTGACCGTGAAGATTGTTGCCGGATCTGGCGAGAGTTGACACAAAAAAGACCTTTCCTTCCTTCGATAAAAACGACAGACAATTTCTTTCTATTAAACCACGAGTGCTTGCGAAATCGATCGAATTATTGAATTGCACAATAGATCCGTTCTGTTTGGAAATGCGATACCACTTACGGAACGCGTGACGAGGCACCTAGTGTGACTTTTACAGATTATTAATTAAACGATTACTAAATCAAAACAAGGGATAAACCCGTGCCTTAGGGGCACTTACATTAACACTTCAATTAATAATGTATAGAATAGATAGATAAATAAATAGATGAATGAAGTATAAGAACGTAGTAAAATAAGCTTAGTAGATATCAAATATATCTAAAAATGTACAATTCAAAGCGGCCTGGTAGCCTATATCACAGCTTTTACAATTATTGATAGTGATAGGTCTTTGCTCTTAATACTGTTTTTAAAACTCCTTAAATTAGGATTCTCTCTATCACTTTGTTCTAATTTATTCCAAAGATGGGACCCAAATTATCGTAGAGAATATTTTCCACTGTGTATTGTGCGAAAACGTGGAATATTGAAATCAGCGTTGCTCAGATTACATCGCTTCGGGCAGTATTAAATATTTCTGTTATGTAAATGGGCGTAAGTCCGTTTTTTACTTTATACATGAAAATGTCGATGTTTTTTAACCGTTGTTAGTTAAAATGTCAATGTGTTTTAACCGTTGTTGGTACAGACATGCTCCTGTTACTAGCCTAATTCCTTCCATTTTCCTCTTATCGGATGATTTGCAAAAGTGCCATTCAACATCACAATATGTAAGGTGTTGCAAAATATTAGACTCGTACAACTGTAACTTTGCAGACCATGAGATTAAATCACGCAGTCTCAGTAGGACCCCAACCTTACAGCTCGTTTTCTTGCAAATATTACTGATAGGTTCACTGAATGTCAGAATTTTGAGATAATCAGATGATTTAACTTCGTGTTCATCGAATTTCAGCATCACTTCATACCCAGGGGTTTTCTTGGAAGGTTGTAGATCTAAAGTAACGATCTGGTATTTCTGAGGGTTGGCTTGCGGTAGGTTTTCCTTGTACCATTGTGACACTGCCTCTGTTTGTCTTCTGAGAGTTTGGGTGGTCTACAGTATATCATTAGCACTGGTGTATATTTGATGGTCATTAGCATACATAAATAGATTAGCAGACTGCCTATGTATTAAGAGATCATTTTGGAACAGGTTCCAGAGTAAAGGCCCGAAGAGGAGCCTTGTGGACACCCCTTTTTTGTTCTTTCCATGCACTGTGCGCTTCCTGTAGTTTGACTCTGTTTCTTCTACGTTTAAGAAAAGATCGCATAAGATTCTATGATGCTTCGGAAAAGCCATATGCTTTGAGTTTCTGAATCATTAATGCGGGGTGCAGCGAATCAAAGGCTTTGCTCATATCAGTGGATAGAACAGTCACGTACTCTTTATTGTCGGCAGCCGTTTTCAGTCCTCTGTTAGCCTTATTAATGTTGTTTCACAGCTACGTGTTTTTCTGTAGGTGGACATTTTCTGGTATAGATGTGGATTCATAGTTTTCGTGATTTGCTTGGAAAGTAACGGTTTGAATACTTTATCAACAGAGTTCAGTACTGTTATAAGTCGGTAATTTCCCCGGTCGGTTTTATCTCCTTTCTTGTAAACAGGGCTCCATTCCCGCATTTTCCACGTGTTTGGCCAATTTTTCTTTCTAGTAACGGTGTTGTAGAGACTTGTTAAGGACGGAGCTAGACCTCTAGCAGTTAACTGTAGGATTTTCGGAGAGATTCCAACACACCCTGTGGCTTTGTTTGATTTGAGCATTTTCAGTTCGTTTTCCACTTCACCAGAGCCAATTTCGTTAAATCCAAATTGAAGGCCTTGATAAGCTTGCCTAGTGCTCTCGACACTAGGGTGTTTTTCAAAGTCTTTCTCAACTAAATTCGTTACCTGTGCACCATCAATGGCATTTGCAACAGTTGAAAAGTAGTCCATGCTCGTCTGCCACTACTTTCTGGTTTGTTACAATTCGCTCGTTAATCGTAATGGCAATCTTTGTCTCTTCTTTGCTCTTACCTCTTAAGAATGGTTTAAAGGTTTGGTAGAAATCCCTTGGTCTCTTCCTCAGTTCATCCGATTTTTGAGCCCAGTGAGCTTTAATAGCACGTCTCTCCTCTTTAGTGGCCAAATTTCGTCATTTCCTTCTTAACTCCCAGTTTTCTAGAGTTAGGTTTTGGGCAAACAATTGTGCATATGTCCTTTTGTTCCTAAATGCCATTTTCCACTTTTCCGTCATATATGGTACATCTTTCTTTCTAACTCTCCTCTCCACTTCTTTTTCGGCATATGTTTGTCCAATACACTTTCAAAAATGGTTTTCCATGCGTCATATTAGTCCTCGATGGCATCGAATGTTTGTCCAATAGTCCAGGGAGCATTTGTCAAGTCCTTATTAAGCTGATCCGTATCCACGCTTTTCAGGCCTCTGAATGTGATGGTCTTTCGTCTATGCTGTGATGCAGATTGCTTTAAAATGCCACGAATGAGGTGGTGATCCCTTATCTCTGGGTTAAAAGAGCCTCCCCTCCTGAAAAGGTTGGGTTTATTGGTTAAAATAACGTCCAGCAGTGTCTGATGTCGACGTAATCCTTGTCGGCTTGGTAATTAAACATTTCACCATGCACTTCTTGTAGGTCAGCAAGTATTTTCTCTTCTCTGCTTTCTGGATTTAGCCTGTCCTGGTTCAGATCACCTGTAATAATAAACATCTGTTTCTTGAGGGAAGCCCGCATGCAAACGTCATTCAGTTCTTCCTCAACACGCTTAAATAATGTGGCAGGTAATTTAGTGTTAACAACTGGGTTGAAAACGTAAATTAGCCACCGTAAAGGGTAAAAAAGCTCACGTTTCGAGCGTTAGCCCTTCGTCAGAGCTAACGCTCGAAACGTCAGCTTTTTTACCCTTTACGGTGGCTAATTTACGTTTTCAACCCAGTTGTTAACACTAAATTACCTGCTATACTCTCCCACCGACGCAGCACCACAGTTTCTTTAGAAACTTACCCCTAAATAATGTGGGCCTCGTTGATGATCCGACTACATCGGGAGTCGGTATATCCCAATGAAAATGACTTCGTTGTTGCCAAGTCTAGCTTCTATTGCAAGAATCTCGAGTGTTTAGTATCTTTTCGTTACTTTCAGCTCCTTCGAGGGTAGACTAGAATGAAAATAGGCTATTATCCCAAAGCCTCCTTTCTCTCTGTCTTTTCGATACGTTAAGGTGAACTGTCTGTTCGGGTAGGACTTGTCGATCTTTGTCTCTGAGGGAAAAAATAATTTGCGACTTCATCTTATCATTCAGGAGTTTCAGTTCATCAAGTTCATTTTGGAGGCTGTTGATGTTCAGACGAAACATTGGTATACGATTGGAATATTCCCGCCTTTCTTGCAAGAGCAGATCAAATTCCTGTTGGCCGCAGTTGTTACATGCCATATTCTCCTGGGAGTGAAGGTATGCGTTATTCATCTCATTTTCATTAGGTTGTACAAGCTGATTTGCATAGTTTCCTTCGGTAGTTGTTATTTCTTCATCCTCAAGGAAATGTGGGTCCCCCAATCTCGGTAGAGAACATAGCGGACAAGTCCATTCGGTTGCTGGTCGTTCAAGAAAATATTTAAAAGTCGATGTCGACATGTTGGGGCACTTTGCGTGAATCCATAGGCCACATTTAGAGTAGCGGGAACTTTTCGCAGC